GGCGTCCCACCATGGATACTTTCCAAGCCGATTTGTGCTATATTTAATTCAAGTCTAAGGGAAGGGTTTCTCCCGGAGCTTTGGAAGTCAGCGGACGTTATCCCAATGCCCAAGGTTAATCCTCCTAAATACATTGAGAGTGATCTGCGTCCAATCTCGCTGACCTCCACTACCATGAAGGTCATAGAAGGAATCGTAAGGGGAGCTGATTTGGACACAAAACTGTAAAAGATAAAATTAAGTTTGACCAATTTGGATGCTCAAAAGGAGTTTCGACTACTGACGCTCTTATTAGTTTTAATACTAAACGAATGTTTTACTGCTACTGACAAAGGGGATGAAATTAGAAATTATCTTATTGTTGGATTTCAAAAAAAGCGTATGACCTGATCGACCACAATATTTTATTTGACAAGTTATATTTATTAGAAGTTGATGAGCATTTAATCTTATGGATAAGCGCGTTTCTTTGTAGTAGAAAACAACGGATTAAATTCGGCAGTGAGTTATCTCCCTGGGTTGGCGTGAAAGGTGGAATCCACCAAGGATCCTGGTTGGGGCCTATCTTGTTCATCATATTTGTTGACGATCTCCTGAATGGGGTGTCTTGCATGAAATACATGGACGACACCTCAGTTTATGAGCGTGTCGGCAAGGATGGGGTAACAGGGCTCCAAAACACTCTTAATAAAACTGTTGAGTGGGCTAACAAGCATAACATGTCCCTTAATAGGCCTATTAAAAAAACGAAAGAGATGACTATTAGCTGGAAAAGGTCAAAAGCAGTGTTTGAGCCTTTCATGTAGAATATAAATTGGAATGCGTCAATGAATTTAAGCTTCTTGGAGTAATTATCTCTAATTGCCTATCGTGGCAACTCCACATTGATAAGATGATTCATAAATGTAACACTAGAATGCACTTCCTCAAACAGGTCCGGAGAGCGGGTTTAGATGCTCCGGCACTTGTTCAATTCTATATAAGTATTATAAGACCAATATTTGGAATATGCGGCCCCAAGAGCCAATATTACTAAGCAACAGAGCCATCAACTGAAACAAATCCCGAGAAGAGCTTTGAAATGTATTCTTCCTGGAGAAAGTTATGAGTGTGCCCGAGGTGTGCTTGGGCGCTCTACCTTTAGAAGAACGTCGTGTTCGATTGTGCAGGGAATTCTTTGTTAAAATAAAAAGTCCCAACCATATATTGCATTATTTATTACCGGAAACTACTACTGTCCCATATAACCTTAGAAAAGTCAGCGAATTTTGCAAAATGCAACAGCTCTGTTGTCACAAAATACGACAAGGTTTGTTACAAAATACGTAATTTCACTGTTCCCTGGTATTACAAAATACGTGAATTATTACAAAATACAAAGCAATAGACGTTGAAACACTGGTAGCACTTAATTGACTAACTTAATTTCAAATAACACGCACTTTATTGACTAACTCCTAAATTATTGATTTCATTGAAGCAAACTGGTTTCATCGCTAAAAGACATTTTACTATAATGTAATCAACTGACTCACATCTCAACATTCTCCTGGGTTTCACACCAGGCAACTTCGCGCACGCATCATACTTTTATCAAATAAACTTTTTCTTCTTCTTAAAATAGAAATCGTGCTGTTTCTATAAAACGTAATTTTAATTAATATTAAGAGCACTAACTGCGAACACTCCCAAAAAAGACTGAATACACTGGCCTATACCTTTATTCCAGGGCATTTTCTGTTTAGCTGGTGTTATGAAAGCCCCTTCGTACATAACATACGGTCCTATGGAAATCGGCGTTATATAAATATTTTTGATTTATTGATTAATTGACTAATATAGTCATTGCCTTAATAGTGAATTAGCTTACTTTTTATTAGAATTTACCTTGTTAGTATACAGTATGAAAAAGCTGGTTGTAATATTTCTTTGTATTTTAAGTTTATCAAAAGTGTAACAATAATAAAGAATGTATATTGTATAAGTCTGAAATAAAAAATAGCTTCAATAGGAGTCCTGTTCTAAACAGTATAGTATCTGAAAACAATTATAACTGTTCGAAATCGAAGTTATATAAATCATAAAAATTAATAAGATGAAATAATGTTGATATAGTCAAAAGAAAATTGTAATAGCAGACAAAAAAAGTAGCATTCATTTAATTTATATCCTGTCTCTTATACACATCTTATATATATATATATATATATATATATATATATTATAGCCCTCTAAAGCACATTTGGCATGTGTAGTTCGCATAATCAACGTCAGTGTCTTGCTAAATTGATTATAATAAACCATCATCTCTGATTACGACTAACTTAGGCCTATATAAAATGTAGGAATATATGTCAAAACAACAGGATAATGATACATTACATGTATACAGATAGACAATCTCAGTTCAGGTTAATTTCATCATTTGTAAAATATATATCCTTCAAAATCAATGATTGTTTTTGTCTTTGTCTGCAAAATTTGAATTAAAAATTTTGTATAAATTTGATTTTGGACAATAACAATATTGAATTGCATTGAATTGAGTATAGACATATGCCTACAAGTATTCCTATACCTATTAGCCCTATATCATATCGTAACAGGGTAACTTAAATTTTACTCAGCTTTCATGGTTCGAGTATACATTCCTTTCAGAATCCCACAGCATTTTTTTAAATTATTTTATAATTTGTGTCTTTATATTAATTTCATCCTGATGTTTTGCGTTATCAAGTTTTATTCGCGCAACATACTGTATGTTTGCTGTCTCGTCTGTGTTTTTTTTTCTTCTTTCTTTTTTTTCCTGATGTGTAGGCAATTAATGCAATTAAGCCATGTGGTGTTGTATGTCGTTGCAAATAAATCATAAATATATTAAAAAGTCAATATCCATCCATGCTGCTAATTTAATTTGTTTTATGCCCACACATTTTATATTTCATACTTTATGTTTTTTTATCTTTTATACATTTAGGTAGGATTACCAATTGCGATATTGGTCGTAAAGAGCCAACAATTGTATGTCCATTATAACGTTTCATTGAAAATTACTGAAAGTAAATGAATTGCATTGAATTGAATGTTGTTGCTACGGTCAAAACGAAATCGTAAACATACTATACATACTTGTGTGTTTGTGGGACATCCCAGTGCTGGCCCTGCTTGTTTGAAAAGTTGTTAAGTTTGATATTGCTACTTCAGAAATCATCATCCGTCTGCCGTTTCTGTTATTTGAAATCGAGTCGATCGGGCCACTAAATCTCTTGCTTACCGGTATTAATGATGCGCATTATATTAACACGTGTAGAGAAATCGAAGGATAGACTAAAATATAATCAATTCGAACAAATCTGCAAAGCTTGTGTATGAACTAACTTTTTATTTTATTTTTTTTTGCCTCATATGTCAAATTCATCAAAGAACCTAATATTTCAGATCTCATTAAATAGGCCTATAATTGTCTACGTGAAACGCGGCTTTGAAATGCTTTGGATAAATTAGTAATCAGACCATGAAGGAACTACAAGATTAAACTGCATCAACGCAAAGCTATTAAAACAGATGGCAAACAACAAAAGTATCACAATGTAGGGCTAGTGTCACTGGACTCGGTTCTATAAATCCGTTGAGATCTATGCTACACGATGTAGGCCTACCATTATGTCCTTTATTCGAACACTGTTTCACATTTCAATATTACAATTTAATAGTGTTAACGGCTATTTTTTATTTATATTATATATTATATATAATATAATTAATTGCACATGCCCATGAGTGCAAATAATTAGAATTCCAAACAAAACCTTGAATGCTCAGTTGGTCCCGTGTTCGAATCCCAGTTGGTGCACGTATTTTTTTCACAAGTCGCAGTCTTCTTCTTATCGATAAAGTTTATTTATTTAGGCTTAGTTATTTATAGAATTACCTCAAGACGGTTTATAGAGTTTACCTCTATTATATCCTGATTTATTTACAAAAGGTATCTCAAATTAGAATAAAAAAAAGTATTTCCATTATATAAAATGTATCTCCATTATATCATGATTTATTTATAAAAGGTATCTCTTCGCAGAGATCTCGTCTTGTCGTTAAATGCTTATAAAGAGAAAGGGCGTATCTTATTTGCCATGCAGCAAGGACTAATGTAGTGTCCAACTATGCATGCTCATGAGTTTAAAGAATTAGTTTCAATCGGATTTAATTTCCCAACAAAGCCACAATGTCCCGGTTGGTTAAGGCGTCGGCATAAACAGCAGAAGGTTCCGGGTTCGAATCCCAGTTGGGGACCTACTTTTTTACACTTGCAGCAGGACTTGCAGATTCCTCTTAAAATAATTGTGTTTTTAATAACAAGGATAATAAATAACATTCCGTTGCAAACTCAACACACATAAATAATGAAATAATAAAATAATTTATGTTATTACGGGGATATCTAAAATATAATTATTAACTTATTCGTTCCCGTTTCCACGCATTTAATTTATATCCGTCCATGGCTGCAAAGTTAACCGAGGACATTGGGCGGCGAATGGCGATCAGTCATGCACTGACGAGTGAGGGCGGACGTGCGCAGACGACCAAATACCGATACAAGTAAGAGTTCATTAAATGTGGAGTACATTTTAATACAGGCTTAATAGTTTTGGCCGAGATTAGATCATGGAGGTAAAAAAGTAAAAGCACTTTACTGACCAATAAACATTAATAAAAGCCACCACAACAAGATAGATTCGAGGATGACATTTTGTATGACATAAACATCGATCGTTTATGAAAAAAAAACCAATTATTGTTGTCATATAAAATTTCAACATGATGATAGAAAATAGCATTATCATAATAACGCATTAGGCTATATTATTAGTAAGAGTGTGGTATAGTATAATTATATCTACTAACTTGATCAACTTCCTACCAATCAAATTTAGCCGTTGTTATCGCCAACAATCCACTTTTCCGCCCCGGATGTGAAATGTTGACACTCATTTACATAATGAACTGCAAAATGTCAACAAAATCGAAGAACGTGTTTGACGTGGCCACAGACAAAGTTCCATAGTTTTATATTCTCCTAACTATCGGTTCAGTATAAGAGTAAGCCGTAATACTGTACTACTTTTACAACCATATGCATGCATTTTAACAGCTAGCCACTAATACCTTTTACTTAACGTGCTTACCTAAGCTAGGCTTTAGGCCTAGTTGATTCTCCTTGACATGATGTAGCGGCGACGGGGACAATGAATGGGAGCGCGCTTGTGTTTTAATTAAGCCGAACCAGTCGGCGTATGAAATGGGGCCTAGCATTGATGTCACGATATTTAGTAATGTAAGATCTGTTTTTATAACGGTGATGTAGTTTTAAGTAGCAAATTGATATTAATATTAATAATAATAATAAATATACATCAGAGTTAACATCAAAATAATGTTTTACAGCTTTTTTAGGCTTTGATTATTCCTGTCTGTGGCTAGATGAATAGAGTAATAAATACTAGTCCTAGATACTACTACTAGGCTAGCTAGGCCTAGGCTAGTCTGTCCACTACATATATTATTAGTCCTCTTCTTACTACTACCAATGGCAGTGCACCATGTCTTTAGCCCTAAACGCCTAGGTTGAGAGGCATGACTGCAATGAATAATAAGCCCAAAATACCTACCATTTTGATATTGGATGCCATTGTTTTTGCTTATTTATATTATGTTTCAATAAACTTAAGTCACTTTCTAGTACTCCAAGACCTATCTTAAATCTTCTAAAAATCATTAAAATTTTTCTTATATTTAATATTCTATTTCAAGAATATTAAATTTTCCCTCACCGATTAATAAAGTAGTAAATATTAGATTACAGTAGTATTTTTTTTGCATAACTCTTAAAATGTCTTGTAAATTTAAACAATTTTTTAGAAAAAAGATATGATCCATTGTCGAGCAGGATCATCCCTAAGGTTGACACGATTTTGGCTAGATTTTTATTTCCAATATGATTTCTGTGTGTCGTGTGTATTACGTGAGATGCATCAGCGGCGTAGCTAGATGACGATGGGCCCAGTTCAAGATAATTGCCAAACCCTTTTAATGTGAAGTGTCAACTGAGCGCTTAAGGGAAGTTTAAAGAACCGTATTTGATTGTATCTAATAATGAAAATTCTTAGGTGCTGATTTACCTTTCCAGAAAATTTATCTAATAAAGTACTTCTTTACTATACCTTTCCCTTTAGGTCTAGGCAGTGGTGGATCAAGAATGTTTTTGCTTGGGTGTTGCGAGTCACATTCACGGATCTATGTTCTGAAGGGAGGGGGAACCTGTGGTTGAGGGAGGAAGTTTTTGCGCTGTTTGCTTTATTGTGGCGGTTGAAAGGCCATCGCTCCTTGGAATCTTTGTATTTTTATCCATTTTAATCTGAATTTTTCATTCTTTTAAAAATAGGTAGTTTCTATTTTTTAAAATTTATTATATTGAATGGGCCCCCAATAGCCCCGGGCCACAGTGCTTTCCACTGGCTGTACTGCCCATAACTGTGCCACTGAGGTGCAAGATTTTCGCCTTTTCCCTGTAGTTTGATGCATTGCAACATGCACACAATTTTCTATACTGTAGCACATGTCCGATATAACATTTTGTCCCAGCTAACCATTTATTACTTTAGGATTACCAGTAACAATGCATGTAGCAACAAAAATAGAATGACATAAAATGTCAAAGAACTGCTGTAGAGTCTTATGTATAGAGTGATGTAAATGTAAAGTAGGTCTGCCTTATACACCTGAAAATTTATATCGGTTTGTAGTAAAAGAAAAAAAAAATTATAGCAAACAGGGAATTGCCATGTACACAATTTCGGGAGTGTAGCTTTTGCAAGGATTAGTCAGATTGTGTGTGTGAATATGTAGGTTATTGGAATGCACAGGACTTTTGTATGAGAAAAATGCCTGAAAACTAGTGCAGCATTACCTTACATTAGAATAAAAAATGCAAAGATAAAAATATAACAATCATAAAGTGAGTCATGCAGTAAAACCATATAGGTTGGTATCCCTCGTACTTGGCTACCCTCAGGTAATTGAAAGGTTACAATCACAAACCTGTAGACCAAATAGATACCTTAACTCATTCGTACCACTATCCATTAGAATTCTTAATCAAAATAATATCAAATAATCTTTAGGGCCTAATTATAATTATATTGTTGTTTGTTGTTTTATATTCACCTTGCACTTTTTTTTTGTTGCGATGTGATGTACAGTACCAACTAATTTTCCGAAAGGACACATGTAAAGAAATTGTGAGTCTTTCTTTGAATCTTGAACAGTACAGAAAATATAAAAAGACGTGCCTCACTAACATCTACCAAACTCCTCACCTATAAGTACTGTATATCAATGCTTACCAATTTGATAAGAATACTGTATCTCCATGATAATGATGATTGATAACAGCAGTGTTTCTCTGTAAACATTATGTTGCCAACTGCACACATTAAATTTGTTTTATTAGTGGCACTATTAAAAGGTCTTGCCATTTAATTATCCTTAACACCGTCCTCTAAATCCAGACACACCTGCCTGTGTATTCCATAGATTGCCAATATTCACAGGTTGATTTAATCATATAGTAGAACTAGAAGGCAGTATATTAATGAAATCTAATCCCTATTTATTACTTGCTGTACTCTCTAATCTAGACCATTATAAAGAGTGGTTGAATTATTGAAGTTTAGCAAGTGACCGTACTGTTTAATATAATTTTTATTATATACCTCATAGATTCTAGGCATCTGATTAAGAAGCGGGGCAATAGAAAGTACTATTCCCCTCAAAAAGTACTATTTCCCTCAAAAATAGTACTTTTTTGACCTGTTGCGATGTGCAAACTCTAGGCCCACAACATCGCGTTGCTGACGGTAAAGGGGACTGTGACCTCTACGACGAGATTATCCCCTGACCGCGTCACGGATCAGCGAGTAGACGATAAACAAATATGGAGGTTGCTCGTTTTGAGATGAAGGAGGACTAGCCTAGGCCTAGCATTATTTCTTGATGAAGCCAATAGCAAAAGCACCAAAAGACAAATTAAATATGTCTTATCAATATTCGACAAATATATTGCAAGATGATGGGTGCTGTTGAAATTGAGGAAATAGGCAAAGAAGAGCTAGACACACTCTTTGATTGCCTATTAGGGCTAGGCCTAGCTAGTAGTAGTATTTGGCCTAGTAGGCCTCTATTTTAACAGGCTAGGAAGTAAGTACTTTTTTAAGCCTTGTAGAATCTATGTATGAGGTATATAAAACAAATATTGACTGCTCTATATTCGGGGAACAGTGAAATCTATTGCCCCTCGGTGATATGGAGACCGTAGCCTATCTTCCCTCGGGCCTTCAGCCCTCGGGAAGATAGGCTACGGTCTCCACATCACCGAGGGGCAATAAATTTCACCATTCCCCTCTTGAGCAGTCAATATTTGTATAATATGGTCAGTAATAGCAGTTTTTAATTAAACAAAATGATGATTATTACTCCACAGAGAGTGACTAATAGTGTTAGTGTATTAATTTTGAATTTGTTGATGATGGTGAAGCTGATGATGATTATGGTGGCAGCAGTGACGGCAGCAGCCTTATGAGTGTAATATTAATGTTTTGTTTAATTCTTATGTTAGTGCTACCAGGATGCAGGCATCCAAAGTTGGGAGAAGCCATTTCAGCGAGATGTAGTTTAATCAACTTTTCAACACATTTGATTGTCCATTATATTGCGCATGGTGAGACCCATGGCTAGTTTACATCAAGGACAAAAAAACGCAAAATACCAAACCTCATAATTTTATTGGAGATTGGTAGAGTTTCTGGCAGATTTTGCTTGTTCACCGGGTGCAAACCTTGTTTTTATTTTTTATTTTTGAATAAAGTACATGTACTATTAAACTCAAAAAAACAAATAACAAGGTCATACTATGTGATTCTACATTTTTGTTTAATTTTTCAAATAAAATAGTAATAATAATTAGACTTTTATATCGCAAAATTCCAGAGCTTATATGTGCTTAAAATTAAATTAAACATAAAATAAGAATTAACCCCTTTCAGCAACAACAAACTGTGATAAACCAAAAATAAACATGCATACACTCAATTATATTTTGTTAAATAAATAAAAATGGGAAAAGGCAAAATCTGTGCCAAACAGATGCTTAGAAATGGCAGTTTCCCCTAGAGATAATATAAGTTTGACCAAGAAAAAAAATACAGTACTGTAGACCTACCACAAATGTATAAAATCAATACTCTAATAACTAACAGAATCAACAGATTAATAACTGACCAATGAACAAAAAATTAAATGATGAAGAAACCAATCAAGAGAAGGTTGCTATTAATTATACAGGGACCACAAAAGCTGTATAAATATTTAATTTCTGCATTATACATGTATATAAACAAATTTCTGATTATAATGAAAATAACAATTGTTATTATATAATGATACAGTAGTGTGAGCTTCTCTCAATTTGATTTTCTCTAGTGTTGTAAAATTCAAGACTTCACTCTCCTGCATATAGTAGATATAGGATTGAGAGCAGACCACTTTTGGGGCAAGTATTCAATTTTATTCTAGCACAAAAATACCTGTTTAAGGTTGTTCTCATCTCGTCTAGAAGAAAGATGTCTGTGCCTTCATGTTCAACCATAAAATTCCTCAAACACAAAATTATAGTCCAGCAGTGGTTTTCAGGAGAAATTTTTCCTAAAAATTCCGGGTAATGTTTGATGCGTATGATCACCAATCGCTTGGTCATGCATTCATTGTGTCCAGCCTTAGATCTTATAGAGAAATAATAATTCATTTGTTCTGGTATCATCTAATGAAATGAGAATTGCCAATGATTGTGATAAAGGATCACTGAATTCATTCATTCACTTTTAAAATCATTACTACTGAAATTTTACAGTAAATAATATGTTCTATTTAAAAAAATTATTTTTACTAGTGATACTTCAAGGGTTCTCCCCCCCCTCCCCATGATAAGATAAGATAAGATAAGATACACCTTATTGCTCCAAGTCGAGAATTCAGTTCTCGCATTGTTGCATATCCTTCTAATAAAAATGTTTATGTCTTCACTTCTGCAACAGCTAGGCATAGGGATTTGATAATTGTTTTGGCTCTGTTTACTTAATTATTTATTTTATTTTTTATAATTAATGTTTTCAAAATTATTCATGTATACAATTTTAATGGCATTAACTACAAGAAATACTGTATTACTAGATTGTTGACCATTCCCAGAACTAGACTTTATGACATGATTATAAATCAGATATTAAACTGTTGATGTATTACGAAAAAAAAAATTTGATTTCTAGGCCATGTTTTTTTTTAGCTCCCATATTTTATAACTCATTTTCTCAATGATGGCCAGTGCGACAACTTTGCCATTTTGTCACGACATGCCTCATAAGTTACGCTTTCTTTCTTACAGATACGTGTGAAATAATGCGTTTGAAGAAAAAGAAAGTTGTTTTAGTCACATTAACATTAGTGCTGACATGGTTTTTTGTTATTGTTGTTATTTTCCCTTCGAACAACATGAAATCAGAGCTACCAATAAGTAACTCATGGAACTTTTTAGAAATCTTCTCAAAGAAGCGGACGTTTAATATCGAAAAACCAAATACAGCGAATAAAGGAAGTAGAATTATCCCCGAAGCTGGAAGTCCGTATAAATGGAGAGTTGGAGAGATTTTATTAAATTCAAAATCCGAAAAGAAGCAATTAAACCCAATTATTCTAGGCAGAAGTCAGCACGAGAATATAAATTTAAATGCAGAAAATTTGCCAAACAATCAAGTGAAACTCACTCACACAGAGAGACAGAAATATGATCTTGAAAAAGATCTTAGACTGAAGAAGATAGTGAACAATTCTGACTTAAAGAGGATCTGGAGTATAGCTGCTAAATGGGTGACCGCCAGGCATATTATTCCTGAGCAAGCACCAGAATTAGGGGACATCTTACATGCTATGGCATCAAGGCCAATAACAAAGGCAGATGTAGGTTACAAAGGAACTCAGCTAAAGGTCACCCTATACCTAGCCGGAGGTCAAGTAGTAGTTTTTAAGCCCAAAAGGTAACAAACTTGACTTGTAAACATTTGATGTACTTTTTTTGTGTTTGGCATTTCTATGTAATCAAAGGAAAGGATATTCAGTATCTGTATCCTCTTTCAAATCACCCAGACAATCATTCAATGGTCAATGTTCATATATTTTACATAGTGCCTTCCACAGAAAAATCCGTCTCAAGGCGCTATTAAGCTACAAGAAACAAAAACAAAAATTAATTAATGAAGAGGCGCGAACGTGAAGGGGGCGGGGGGGAGTGCGTACCACGATTTTTAGAATATAAATACACTCTTGTAAACATAGAATGTCCGCTGTTAACCTAGTCTTACTGTTAAACTACTGCAAACCCAGTGGAAATTTGTGCAAACCCTAATAAAGAGCTTAATAATGGTTACTAGGTACTACAGACATTCCAGAAGACTGAATAAAAAAACAAAATATCTATGAATATGAAATAATTTTGATTTGAAAATTGCAAATAATAGATTTTTGTACACAAACCTCACAAATTAACACCCATCCAAACCGCTATCAATTAGATCATAATATAGAACATAAAAGAACAGCGAAGCATTTTTATAATTACAATAATTGGTCAAACGTTCAATTTTCAAGATTAATAAAACTACAACACAAAAAACAAATGTAAATCATGCACAAGATTTAAAAAAAAAAAAAATTCTGATTTGCATTATCAAAAAAATTGAATATTTAGTAGTAATATGCAGCAAATTTGCAATGTTTTGCAGTTAGTACTTGAAAAAATATTCTTATGTTCCCCTTGACAACTGCAAAGTCCATTTCATGTTAGGGCTGGACTTTCATCCGTGATTAAAAAGAAAATATATTGCTAATTTGATATAATACAAAATAGAATATTTATGACTTTATGAATTTATGCAGTAAATTTGCATAGTTTTGCAGTTTGAACTTCTTCCCAACTCCAAAGCCAATTTCATGTAAGGATTTTTACCACAGGTTAAATTTCTTGGAACAATTCTTAACATTTCTCTACTCAACTGAATTTATTAATCTGTACCTTTATTTTGAATATTAATTTATTTTTCTAATTAGCAATTAATAAGCCTTTTAATTTGAAATTGTAGAGCTGCTATAATAATGGTTTAATTAAAATTGGATCACTATTGTTCAATTATAATTAGGCCTATTTATAAATTCTATACAAACAAAATCTATGATATATATAATAGAGACAGCTGCAGTATTGCTTATGGACTTTATGCAATTTGATTTTATGAATTTAAATTGCTTTTCTCATTTTCCCTCTAGGTACAGTATTATTACTTACAGATTTTATCCTCTGTAAGCAATGAACAATTTAGATACAGGACAATGTATTGAAGTATTAAACGTTTTCATTTCATTCATCCCAACAGAACAACACAGACTCTTTAAATTAGGCTATACAGCAAAAATCCACCTCCACCATTCCTAAAACAATAATTAGGTATAGAATAATAATTTAATATCATTTTTCAAGAGAATATACCTGAGATCCCCAAGCAATGGTAACATATTAAAAACAGCCAATTGTTTAAATCTAATGTGGCGCTAAGATTATAGTGATAATGATACTGCGATAATAATAGTTAACACAAAATGTGATGTCTATATAGTAGTAATGTTTGTGCAATTTTGGTAATGTTTGAGTTAATTTTTGTAATTGTTTATTATTTATACATTGTGACAATATCTGGTAATGTTTGTGTTAATTTTTATAAATGTTTGTGTCAGTTTTTGAAAATTCCTATCGTACATTAAATGTTTTATATTTCAAGTTTGTCAAGTACCTTTGTTTTCAAAGGTTCAAAAACAGAAATAGATTTATAAACATGAATAATACTTTAACAACAACAATTATGTTAATGCTTAGTTTTAGTATACTGTACATATGTTACACATTCCAGAAAACATTTTTAAGTTAACTGTCATTGATATATTATACAAACAAAAATTCCCACTATTCTTTTTAGATTCTCTCGTGATTATGTGATTGAAGGGTCTCCTGTTGCAGGCTATGACAGACATAACGGAGAAATAGCAGCATTTCATTTGGACAGGTAAGGCAACTGCTATGTATCTGATGAGTTATAGACTGTACCATGGTGGAAGGCTAATTACAATAAAAAAGCGTAAATGAAAGTCAATACCGTTGAGGTATATACATTTTTTGCCCTAATCTTGACAGCAGGTTCTAAATGCTTGTGTCTGTTACCAGGACACAGTTCTGTGGAGTATGGATAGATAAGGCAATAAAAAAATTATTAGTTTATCACCCTGATGCACATGTCTTCTGTGGTCTTGAAAAAAATATATATTTTTTATAGGGCCTAAGGTAAGAAATGAAAGTAAAGTAAAGCATTGGTATTTCATGCTATAAGTGAAAACAGGTAAACTGAGGTACTTGTTATATAAAAGGATATAAAAAAAATAGGCTCCCAGTGGGAGCTTGTGTCTACTGCCTTATACTGTGTAGGCCTATGTTTACTAAATCGAGGAGACCAATCTGACAAAAACTGAAAACTTGGCCCGAGTGAGACAAATCTTCGCTTAAGACGCAAGATCCCATCATGCATCTCACCGGATTTACTCTCACAAATAAATTTCCAGATGAAAGCTGTCTACTTACCCCCGCGGGGGCAGTAGACACAATGAAAACCATTTAACCACCAAAGGTTCCAATCTACAGTAAATATCTTATTATTCACCATTTTACAGACACTCCTCAGTTTGTCCTCCCTGAGTACACATTACTTTCACTTTCTATCAATTTGTATATATCATCAACTTGTTTCTCAAGTGTTTTTGTAAATACGCTTTTATCATCTCATCGTACACTTACACTGTAAGTATTGGATAAGTTGGAGCTACAGTGCTTTAATAACCCAGTGCAGACTGTAAGCCAAATATCAGTGGAAGGCGTGGGAAATACTGCATATTTGTATGGTATAGCACAGGTGGGCAGTGCATTTGCTATTAAATCAGAAGTAATAAACCTTGATGTATACAGGCACTTCAATTGAATCATTATTGCCAAACACACTACTAAAATTTTGGTTGTTTGTTCAGAGTATAAAATATTAACATGACAATTATCAATATAATTGTCAATATAAAACAGATTTAAAATGTAGCAATTCTTTTCGACATAAACAGTAAAACAATTAGAATTTTATATTATATGCGCTATTGACATTTAGATGTTGACAGCAATATGCCTACACATATTTTTATTAATACTTATTAAGTAATTTTGAATTTTAATATTTTTGGGATTAATTTGGTTTGAAATTGTATCTGTTTCACAGGGCCATTTTCCAAGTGTTCCTTTTTTGGCCCTGTCACTTGCTGTACCCCTCATAAGTTAAAGTTTAGTATTCAAGTTGCAAGTGAATAATAAATAAGCCTGAAACCTGCAAACTCATGCACAATAAGCTCTATGCAGTAACTAATAATTTAAGGTGGAGAATTTATATTATTTTATAATAATAGCTTAAAATGTATTCATTCACAAATAAACTTTAAATTGTTTTAACACATATTTTGTGTTCTGCTGATAAACCTAAAAATATAGTAATTTGGAATTGCAGCTGTTTGGTGCAAGGTAACTGTTTGGTTTTATAAATTTTGTTCCAGTAAAATTTATTGTCAATATTTTACTGTGCCATTTTTTTCAGGATCATAAAGCTTTAATTATAAATATAACTTCATCGTAGACCTGTATCAGTTATCTCTTTTAATAGCTCTGTGGAAGACATCACACATATTTAGATATGATCTAGTTAGTTTATAGATACTCAACTTCTGTGTATTTTTACAATTAATCTTTTGTCATCCTATGAATGCTTGATTCTAAAAAAACGTTTTCCCTAAAGGTTCTGAAACTAAAGGATGGATTACAAACAGTTTGCCAAATTGCACAAATCTGTTTCAAAAGGTGAGCTAACTGTTAAAAAAAAAAAATTAATTGGGTAATAACAAAATCATTACCTCCTACTACTGACATGCCAAATTATTTAGGTTTATGTAGCGTCGCGTCCTCTGTCGGTGGGCAAAACAAAGTGTCGTAATTTTTAACTACACTAATTAGCATCCAAGCTCACCGAAAGAGAAGGGATTTTTTTTTTATTGTTAGTCATAAAATATAGTGCAAAATGTGTTAGCTTATTGTAGTTCTACTATTATAACATGAAAACAGTACTAAATGAGGTAAATTTTTCTTTTCTCATGTAGTGACAAAGAATTGCTAGTATTAACAATCTACAATCAGATGTAACACTTTTATATCAGTGACACATTTTAGAAAATAGTTGTTTACACTCAGGATTTAATTCTTATTTATTTATTTATTTTATTCCTTTCAGCCAGAACCACAAAAAGCAATCAAAAAAGAAAAAGGAGGGCAGAGGAGGGCTGAGGAGAGGCAAAAGCGGTACAAAAACTACTATCACCGGATATGGTGTGCCCTTCCCTCCCCTCCCCTCTTCTCCTTATATAACAAATCACTCCCAAAAAAACAAATTTACTCTATCGGTCGGTGTAGGGATAGACCCCCTCCTAGATTTCAGGTGGTGGTGCCGCCACTGTAGAAAAACAGGAAATTAAAATGTATTGGGAATCATTGTCGAAATGTATGTATCCTGGATTCATAATTTCTAAAATGTTGTTCATGAATTTTTCAACTTCTGTTGCTTCTTAAAGTATGAATGTCAATAACAATAACATCATCACTTCGGGCTAGCAAAAAAATATGGTAATATTATCACAAAAATAATAATTTAAGTCTAAACCATAGAGATTGGAAACACTACCTAAGATTTTATGGAAAATGTAATAAAATCTTTAAGAAATTTACCAATGTATAATTTCAGAATCCAGGTTTATGATATAAAAAAACAAATTAGAATCAGCAATTTTATATTAATCATTTTAATGAATTGCTGGTTCTGATATATTCCCATCCCATAAAAATTGATTCTCAATACATATTGCCCATAAATTTCTGAAAGATTTCATAACATTCTCTGTAAAATTCTATATTGGCTTTGTGTTAACTTTTTTTTTTTTTAAATATTGCTTTGCATCATAATGTAGTAGCCTGGGGTAAAAATTTTACTATCGTTCATAGTTAGCATAGTTATTGCATATTACAACTGCGTTTTAGGAAAGATATAATATTGCTGCCAAGTAAGTGTACTTTCAAAAAACATTCTTTATTGCTTTCACATTATGCTCACATTTCTCTTTTATTATTCTTTTTGTGATATTTGAATTTTTCAGAACCATTTAAAAAAAAAAATTTACATACTGACTTCTCTCTCTTTTTTTACAGTTGTTTTTATGTTTTTTTTTTATAATAATAATAATTTAACCTTTTGCCACCATAATTCTAAATTGTGTGTAATATCTGTGTATTTATTGCAATAATTATGCTTGTTTTCTTCATTGCATTTGTTTAATGTTCCTCTGGGGTCCAACTGCAATTTTACAATGGCTTATTTTAAAATGTATTGTGAATCTTACCATAATTTATTAGGCCAGTTTATAACATGCAATATAGTTAAATGCAATAGGCCTGAATATAAAAAGTACAGTCTTTTATCTTCAAAAAACATATCCTTGTTAGTCACTTGTGAGATAACCCTAAAGTTGGTGTTATGATTCATTCAGTGATTGGTTTAGTAAAAATGGTAGTAAAATAATATTTGTATGTTTCAGCAACACAAATATAATGGGGTTGATTAAGCCGGCACTCACTGCGTATCTAGGGGTCTTGAAATGGAGGTGCTGATTGGGGGCGCAAAAGTAAAGTAGGAGGCTCGATGATCAGTTCTAGGGGCGCTAACTCGCAAAATAAAATGATTTTAAGAATTTTTAACTACTTGGCCTGTGATTTTTGTTGGGGTGACTTGGGGGAACGAGTAATTTTTATAGGGGGTGTACATCCCCCGCACACTCCCCCTAGATACGCCACTGAACTATGCTCCCTGTGAGTGCTAAACGACGCGGCGCCATCTGCTGTTTGTCGATGGCAGTTTGAACGGAATGTCATTAAATATGATCCATTGCGCTTGCATGCGAGTGCCCTACTTTACAGGTTTTTGTTAACATTGCAATTGTCCAATAAAATTTTAGACACGGAACAATTATCATTGGTACATTACTTGTGACTCTAAAATCAATGGAGATACAAATATTAATCTTAATATTTGACTTTTCAAAGTTGTAGTGTTGTTTGATGATTATATTGTTCGACAATTGTGTTTTAGGGTAGAATTATGTATTCTTGTACAGTTATATAATATCATGCAGACTCCAAAAAGACTAAGAGAATCCATGATTCAATATTTCGTTCTATATTCAAACATCATCAGGAATGAAAATAATTTTGTCCATAGGGACCATATACCAGAATTAAAGTAACTATAACTAACCAATCAAAAGCGAGAAACCGGTAAAATTGACCAATCAAGGCAAACAAGATGTGACATATTATTGATGAATTAACAGCAGTTGTACAGTTATGCATACATACAGTACTGTACAGATAAAAGAGTTATTTGTTTGGCAAATATACATTCATCGCATGGCATGAATTATCACCTAATTATCTTCTGTTTACTTGAAATAATTACCAATTATATGAGTTTGATGATCAGCCCATTAAATTACAAATTACAATACCATACACTACATTTTCCAGTCCAGTGCAAACATATTATACTCATAATATATTGTTTTTAATTGTATTTTAAATCTTTTGAGAATAATTTCAATGGAATGATTACAAAAGATTTTAGAGTTACACTATAAATCACAAACATTTTTATATCTACATTCTTATGTGCATGCTGAAAGAAACCTCATTTTGGGTCAACTCATCCAAGGTTAATTATTAAAGTACACAGGTGAAGTGGGATGTTTTTTTGGCTATGAATTGAGGGAAGGAAAGCAAACCCCTATTCAGGAGACATCCTAAGGGACACTTTTTGGTGATGCCCTCTATATGTTCTACTTTAACAAATGATTAGCTTGATAGTCTTTTGTAGTTTTTGAGAATGTTTATATGTTATGTTATCTGCAAGGGTACCAAGTTGTGAAAATCACATTTCTGGAGAGTTTGTTGTGCAGGACAGGCAGAGGTTTGCGACGCGTGTTCTAGCTAAAATGCATGTACAAGGACTCACATGCATGTACAAATTTATCACCTTGTTCAATATAAACAACTTGGGCAGGTTTGGTCACTGTTAATACCATACAGTAATTGCAGCCCAGAATATTATGTCTGTCAGATTTGATGCATAAGAATGGGAAAATGTAGCTTAGCATAAGCCCTACAGTAATTGTGGAAAATCTGTTAAAATCCAGGAGAAATACAAGAGAAATTCAAATTCCGGAAGAAAATGTGGAATTTCCGGAAGACCGGGAGATGAACCAAAATTCCTGAAGACTCCAGGGCAATCTGGGAGAATTGGGAGCGCTGTGATTTAGTTGAGTTACTTTAGCAATTTGAATTAAATTGAAAATGTATGATAGTAGATAACTGCATTAGCTGTGTACGTTTACGACTGCAACCGTTGCTCTTTGTGAGGCAGTTAATGTGCTAAACACACTTTTAACCTACTAGTATGTACTTTTAATTGTGTCAAACGGGGACATTTTATTTCATGGTGTGTCAAGTATGTATTGTAAAAAGCATGTAATGATAGAAACTGCCCTCTTGAACTGTCTTATATTATGAGAAATCCCAGCGTTTTTTTTTTGTTTTGCGATTGAACAGTCATGACTTGAAGATAACATCTCAATGTCAATGTCACCATGGTGTCACAAAGTCAACTTTTGATATCGTTCTTCCGGCAAACATGGGAAAATAGAAGTCTCTTGATATCATTTTCCGTTCTAATTTGTTAAAGAAACGATAGCATCCGTCTACAATCCATTTCAAGGTGTTCCTCCCAAAGTGTTTGTATAGTCAACAGTGTAGAATTTCAAGCTTACAGTATGAAAGTGCATTCTAATGTGAAAACATACTGGTGAAAATGATACCAAAAACACTTAAAATTTCAGAAATGATCCTACTGTTTTATCGTCAGATCCTACTGTGAACTTTTAATGATACACTCTTTGTTTTGACATAAATAATTTAAAATAAGTTTTTAGTGCATAATTACTATTTATTTTTGTAGGCCTTTACTAAAATGATTGAAATTTTTTTAAATAATAAAATATCTGTAAGTTAAAATGAAGTGTTTTATTCTTGACAGTTTATTTTGATTTAAAGCTTAAACGTGCAATTCAGTGTTAAAATAATTTTGATTTAAGTTTACCACATTTACCACAGACATTAAATGTCATGCAAAGTTTGTAATGAGTATACCTAATAATTCATAACAAATAATTAACTACAAGTCAAATATGAAAAAAAAAAAACATGTGCTGAATCACAAAGGAAATCAAATCTGATGAAATAACAACAAAGTATACATTTTTTCATGACAATTTTGATTTCATTTCCAAAGTAAATTCTAATGGTCTCCACTATATCAAGATTTAATTTTGGGTGCTAGGTCCTCCTATGTTGTTCACCTTCAACCTCTAGCCTTTAGATCAAACAATACACACTTGTTTTTCCTTTTTTAAACCACATAGTCAGGCCTGGAAAAAAAATGTGCCTCCGACCATGAAAATTGTCTAGATAAAAATGCCTCTAGCACCAAATGTTATATGTACAATATAGCCCAACAGTTATTTTTTAAAGTTTCCCCCCCCCCCCAAATGCCCCTGAAACATTTATAATGTCTCCGACCGCCGGTCGCATTGTCGCGCACTTTTTCCAGCCCTGCATATATTCCTATGTGAATTTAAATGGTGATAAAAAAAAAGTCACAGTTTAACTTCAGATCTTTAAGAATAAGAGGATTCTGAATAAACATTTAATAAAATATAAATTATATGTGAAATTATCCTTTAGCTTAATTTATACAGTGAACAGAAATTGAGATGTACATTGCTAACCTACTGTTAATGCTATATCAATTTAATACCAAGTTTATAAAATCAGTTTACATATAGTGTCTACTTACCAGTTGAATATATAAATGCTCTAAAATAGTAGCAGGTAGTCCTTTTTGAACTTGAAGATAATTTACATTCAAAGATTATGTCTTGTAATCCTGCTGCTATAACAGTTCCTCTCCTGGCTGTTGATAAATAGACCAATCATGTTCACCATATAAAAAGATTCAACGCTAATCAATATATATATAAAAAAAAAAACTTGAAGAGTCTGACACTGAGAGCCAATCAATTAGTTATTCATTCATGTGTTATGGCCATGCAGTATGATGGTCACGGTATTGGATTCACAGCAGGTATAGGCCAATAAGGTGTATCCATAGTGGACCCAATGGTGTATCAGAACACTTGAAACCTGGACAATTGATTTTCAGTTTCGCTGACACCTGGTAGGCAATCTTAACTAGCCTCATATCAAAGAAGATCAGATCCATTAAGACCATTATCGCTATTGTGTAGTTTAAAGTAGAATATTCATTATTAATAATGTCCTTGGGTTTGTTTGCTTAATAATATGAACTGGTAATTGAGTACAGTAATTATGTTAAATCTACTACATTTTAAGATCCTTTTTTTTTTGTATATTGATATCATTATATCAAGATTTCCTAATGTGCTTTAAAAAGAAATCACTTCATATTTGTTTTTTAATTTTATTTGAGGAAATAAAACCATTACTGAATAGATATGAAAACAGTACAATATATTTTAATACAGAGTTGGTGGTGTTTCTTTAGATCTCCATCCATCTTGATGATGTGAGAGTTAAGGCTAACTCAAACAACATCATACCCAGTGCAGCCCGACGCGATTTGTTGTCACGTCGGGTCTATGTAAATGAAACGCAGACGCGATGGTTTGTGTCGGGGCAGTCGTGTCATAGAAAATTAAACATGTTTTAAATATTTCTCAAGACGGCTTAAGACTGTCCCCAACAATGATGTTCAGCCATGTAGAAAAGAGCTAATAAATGTTGACACTTCATTTGCCATAAAGTCTGTTGAAAAGTGGTAGTATATGTTTGCCTTCAGTAGTTTGAGTTCAGATTAAGGTACAGTTTGCCCTCCAGTTCGAGACCCCTCTGATTCTGAGACCCCCTTTAATTCAAGACCACTTTTTTGAACTTACCAGAACAATCTTTAATTTTTTATTTACAGTCTGTTTGACACTGAGATAGTATCTGTGTTCCATTATTTTTCCCATCAAAATACAAATATACAGTAGTTATGATGTATTCATAAACAATTAGTTTCACAAAATAGGTTAACATAAAAAAAAGTCTATAAACTATAGTCAACAAAATTTGTTTTTGTCTTTAATCTGAACTTTCATCAAGCTTCTAATCTAACACATTTGATGGTGATTATTGGAGTTGATGATGATTCTCTGTGGAAGCATCAACATGGCTATTTGCACTATGTTAAAAGGTTAGGGATTAATGACCATTTTATGAATAGCAAGTGATATGTAACATATCTTTTGTTTACTGTATAGGACTATACAGTGAAAGCACATTGAAGTTCAGTGACTTATTTTTTCATACTATTTTTTTTTAAATTTTCCTTTACTAGTATTATTGCATTACATTCTTAATGCGAAATTTACCAATTAAAAATATATTTAGAACTGTTTTAATATACTTGTAGGGTTTATCTAATATCCCATTTTTAAAGTTTAATTTTATTTTGCATATGTGACCCAAGCTCACAAACGGACTGTAAACTCGCACTGCACTGTATTGAGAAACATGCCTCAATATTCCAGGATAGGGCGTAGAACGTGAATTTTGTGTGAATTTGGTTTTTGTGTAATAAATAAAGTATAACTATTAATCTTACTATTCCTGAGGTTTGAGTTTAAAATTCCAACTGTAAGAGGTAAAATTTAGCCATTTTCGGATGGAGCTAATGAAAAATGAATAGAAACCTGCCGAAAATAAAAACATTTTTCTCAAAAACTTGATTTAAGAAAGTTGATAAGATGACAATTATTCAAACGGTCATAACTTTGCTTCCAGACACCCGATTGAGTTAATTTAACTGTCATTTTAAAGTAAATGATATGTTCTATGCCTTTATAACAAAAACTCATTTTGGCCTGCGGACGAGTTTACAGCCCGTTTGTGAGCTTGGGTCACAATGTCTCACAATTTTTAATTGTTTTCTTTACTTAATGTATATTTTTCAAGTGAAGCTTATCAAAAGATTGAACTGTTTTAGTATTCTCGTTTCCCTAATATCCCATCTCTAAAGTAGTTAAGAATTTTTATTTGTTCATAATTTTAACTACAGTATTATCATAGAACTTTTTTATTTGATGATAAACCTAACACAGTGGATGTAAACGTAGTGCAAGCCTTCGTATATAAAAGTAATCTAGATGAACTATTCGAATATCTTAGTTTGTAAATTTAGTATCTGTAAATTTATTTATGGAATTTGCGCAATACAATTTATAAATTATATACAGAATTGTAAACCTTGCGCTTGTGAAATTCAACATGCTATGAACTAGAATTGTACCCTACAGTAATGCATTACAATGGCCTTTGCTGTACTATGGGCTGATACACTTCATCACAAATCTGGTTGAGAACCTACGCGTCATGAGCGCAGAGGATTTGTAATTTTGAATAATGTTATGATGGTAACTGTGTGTAAAACAATTCTAAAAATATATTATGGTATTAACTTTACCCTATATTATCTGTAAGGATTATTATCTGATCAGTTGATTGTGAATTGTGCTTTGAGAATAACATGTTCTAATTAGAAAATCCAATGGATTATACCAATTAGGCCTCATAGTTCAGTGAGTATGACAACCTGGAATAACCAAATGATAAGCACAGACACTCTTGGGTATGATCTCGTTAGAGAGCACACTTATTTTGTTAAGCACTGGATGTAAACAATTCTGAACCAAGCCTAATATATCAATGCTTCAGCAAACAAGATAAAAGGGACAAACTATAAAGATTCTAAACTAAAGATATAAGATTCCCTTATTTTCCAAATATTAATACATATTGAGAATAAATTCTTTATTTAATATAAAAACATAATAATTAAAATAAGAAGATACAAACAATTATGTACTTTAACACGTTGACTACCTTGTAGGTTCTTTCCTGTGTGCCAAAAAAAGTTGACTTGTACAAACTTACATAAGTTTTCTCATCCGATTTTTGCATGGGTTGGTATATGTTCAGAGGGTGCCCCCATTTGTGCAATCATGTGTACTGCTGGCAACATAACTCAACAAACATACATACGTTATTTGTATGTTATAGTCTACAGGTAGGTGTATCTTCCCCAAACTACCAACCTTTAAGTCTGTGGCTCTACAATATATAACAAAGAAGTAATAAATGCTAGAGTGTTACCCGATTTTGAAGAGTATAGTCGTCCCTAGTACCCTCAGCAACACTTTGTGGGACAAGTATACTCGTGTCTGGCAGCGGACGTGTTAAAAGCCTATATAGTTTTTCAACATTTCTTACTAAATGGGTGCTAAATCTCATAGCATAATCCTTGGTGAAAATTAAGCTTTATTGCTGTGCATTGTACACATATCAATACTGTATATCGGATACCAAAACAATCTACCATGTACCTATTTATATGCTTGAATTAAACATCTGTAGGTTAAATAGACCTTTCCGAAGTGTCAATCAAACTTACCAACTGACCAATCAGAAAAGGGCCAGGATTGTGCGTGTCCAACAAACACACGTGTAGTCCCACAAATGCACATGTTCGCATATGTTTTTACTTTGTTGTTTTGTGTAACCTTAGCAACAATAACCAAGTGACTTAGCTGAAAGGTCCATTGCATTGCCCATGGGCACACTACCCACTACCTCAATATTAAAGCCCAAGTTCCCGGCAAAATTTCAGTTCTTAGAAATGTCTGATTTTTATTATGTTATAAAGATTTATAACTGAACTTAGACTTCCTAAACATGAAGAAAATGTTAAAGATAAGACTGAAATTTGATTTTTTTTGTGTTCCACACAAAAAATAAACGTGGATGAATTTTTTATGTTTGAAGAAATATAGTAGGCGCTGGAACATTAGCCTATCAACACTGCTAGGCTAAGCCTAGCCTTAGCCGATTTAGGTTCTGTTATCAGACATAAACATGGCTGACATGATATTTTCCATTGCTAGTATTGACACTTGTGAAATATGATGTTTCAATGGAATTATTTCAAATTTAAAAAAAAATTTATTCTGACCGACCGCAGTGTGTGAGATGAAAATTAAAAAAACTAATCTCATTAGAGAGGGCGCACTTTATTGACTGTATAAAGTATACACAAAAGCATCGCAAAAGCGAGAGTATTTCAGCAGCTGCAATCTAAAACCTCTTAATTTGCCTGGTAACAAAGACGTTAATAAGAAAATGATAATCTCATATGAGAAATAGTCTCTATTTCTCATTTTCTTTTGTCCTTTTGCGTAAAACTAAAATTTATGCCAATATTTTTCCAATGTTTAGAATAATGCATGCATTTTTCTACAAAAATTCTTTTTTTTAGTAAAATTTTTTTCGGGAATCGAGCTTTAAGACGATAGAAGCAAACAGGGTTATTTAAGAGTGGAAATTTTATACAGTGTATGTCCCTACTAACATAATGGTTAAAAGAAACAGTTTTTGCAATTTAATGAAACTTAAATAAACTGTAGCAATATGTAAACATAAAATAGTAAAGTTTGAAGCATTATAGCTAGGTTCATATGGGATTATAGCCAGATGAAGTAGCTGATCTACTTGCCAAGTTAATTGGATTGAATTCACTAATCGCGTTCAACGTTAAGGTTAGAGCGAGATATTTTGACTACCAGAAATTTGGAAAACACATCATTAGACAGGAAGTACAATCGCATGGTGAGTAATTACTGTTGATTTTCGCGCGACTAGTTTATGCTAGATCGAGATTAGGCCTATAGGCGTAAACTAGGCCTAGGTCTCGGCGGTTGATTAGACTGGCCGAGGAGTCCAGCTGGAGGGTTTTCACTGGGTTTTCCCCCAAGTATTTCGTTTAGCGCGTGGTAGTGTGGGCATGCTGATTTCGGGTCATCCCTTATTACATAGGCCAACCTCTTGCCCGTCCCACAAATAAAAACGTCTCTCACAGCCTTGTGGTCTGCTCTTAGATTTTTCAACTTTGTCACAACAATTTCCGATGTTATGCTATTGTGGCCCAAGTCCCGCATTCTCTCTGCTATCCTTTCGTGGACACCAGCCTTCTGACGGTACAATTTATCTTCAACTTTTTCGGCGATTTCTGGCTCCCTCCAGATATCTATTAAATCACGTTCCTGCGCATACATCCAGAGATGACGTTTCTTTACTGA